CGCGGAGCAGCTGGGCCCGTGAGCCATGGCCGCTGAGCCTGCGGGTCCGGAGCCTGTGCTCCGCAACGGGAGAGGCCACAACAGTGAGAGGCCCGCGTACCGCAAAAAAAAAAAAAAAAAAAAAGGTATGATCATGATACAAAATGGTATATGGTAAATGCTAATTAAGTGGAAAGGAAATAAATGTGATTTCCGTTGAGCTGATTTTAAAAAAAAAAAGGCATTACTGATAAAGGTCAAACTGGGTTTGGGTAAGTGGCCAAGGTAAGTAGAACTTGACCTGAACATATCCTCTCTGCTCCCCTACCTCTGTCTGCTGTCACCATTTAAGTGGCAGTGGTTTGCCTTCACTTTTCTTTCTTTCCCTCTTTTTTAAATTAATTTATTTTATTTTATTTATTTATGGCTGCATTGGGTCTTCCTTGCTGCTTACAAGCTTTCTCTAGTTGCAGCAAGCAGGGGCTTCTCTTCCTTGTGGTGCCTTCTCTTGTTGCAGAGCACGGGCTCTAGGCGCGCGGGCTTCAGTAGTTGTGGCGCACAGGCTCAGTAGCTGTGGCTCACGGGCTCAGTAGTTGTGGCTCGCAGGCTCTAGAGCGCAGTCTCAGTAGTCGTGGCCCCCGGGCTTAGTTGTTCCGTGGCATGTGGGATCTTCCTGGACCACAGCTCGAACCCCTGTGCCCTGCATTGGCAGGCGGATTCTTAACCACTGTGCCACCAGCGTAGTCCTGCCTTTGCATTTTTTTTTTTGCGGTACGCGGGTCTCTCACCGTTGTGGCCTCTCCCGTTGTGGAGCACAGGCTCCGGACGCGCAGGCTCAGCGGCCATGGCTCACGGGCCCAGCCGCTCCGCGGCACTTGGGATCTTCCCGGACCGGGGCACGAACCCGCGACCCCTGCATCGGCAGGCGGACTCTCAACCACTGCGCCACCAGAAACCCCTACTTTGCTTTTTTAAGGTGCTTTGTGCCTCCAAGTCTGTTTCTGGAAGCGCGTAAAGGTCTCATTTTTCTCCTTTGGGCTCTAGGTGATGGTGGTTGGTGATTATGTGTTTTAATCAGAGGTTATTTAATCCCTTTAACCCCCCAAGACTAAATTAAGACTGGGAACGAGATCCGAGCGCTAGGTGGGACCAGCGGCTGCAATTGGTAGGAGGAATGGGCTAGTGGGGCGGGGCGAGTCCTCTTCCTTTTAAGCTTCCTAGACTATGAACTCTTGACCTTGGCGGGCCCACAAGCTTAACCCGGCAGGGTGCACGGTGGCCTTGCGGAAACCGGCGAGGAGAGCGAGGCCGGTGCCATGCACTGGTGGGGCCGGGACGGGGTCTAGGGCAGCCGGAAAACGTGCGCTGGAGTGGAGCGGGCTCGCCGCTGGCCCCTCGGAAACCCTACGTCCCAAAGTCCCGGTCCTCGGCAGCGGCGGGTGAGTAGGACAGAGGGTAGTTGAGCTCGCGGTGGTGGAAGTTAGTGAAAGGTCTTTGTCCCGCAACCTTCCGCCTCTGACCTAGGCAGGCGAGGGGAGCATCGCGCCCCGGATCTTGGGGGAGCTTCCAACCCCTGGGGCCCATGGGGAAACCTGGGTTAGGGTATGGCCCAGGGCGCCGACCACTCCGGCCGCGTGGGGGACTCGGCGAAGAGGACGGGCTCCTGGCACGTGCTGAAAAAGTCGGGATCCCAGCAACGAAGTTTCGGGGCAGACAGGCATCGGGCAGTGCCGTCCCAGTCAACGGGACCAGTTCAGCGCACAGAAACCCCAACCAGTGGGTATTAACGAGCGTGCCACGCAGTGGTGAGCGAAACTCTCCGTCCCTGCCCGCGGGAGCCCCCGAGACCGGAGTGTGGGGCTGGGCGCGCAGTGACGGGAGGTACGCCCTGTGGGCTCGCGATCTGGTCCGGCAGAGCTGGGCAGGAGCTGCAAAGGGTCCTTGAGGACAGAGCAGACACCCGAAGACCGGGTGAGAAGGGCTAATGCCCTAGGGTCTTTTTGCTTGGCCGAAAGGCAGAAAACAATAGTGGCTGGAACACCACGGTGGGGGGAGGCGAGGGCGGACCCCACGAAGCCTGGCAGGTGTGGTGGGGATTTCGGTCGTTCTCAGAATTGCTATGGGAAACCATGGACGGGTTTGGGGTTAGAGAGAGATTGGGTGGACTCAGAGAACTGGAAAATGGCGACACATTCCCTCGAGGGATTTACATTCTGGAAGGGCAGGGACGGCAGATAAACCGGTCTGCGCCGAAAGTCTGTTGAGTTATATCCAGCCACTTTCCATCGCGGCCCAGCCGGCTTGAGCTCTGGGGCGTGTGGATGTAGAAAGTACTATAGAGATAAAAGTGCCAGAGGCAGGCAGCAGCTGCCAGAAATTTCAGTCTCCATAGTCATGCTCCCTTCCCAAACCAGAGAACCAGCTTAGAATCTGGACCGAGGGCCTCAGGCTACCACGTGCAGCAAATGCTTTTTGAGAATGACTGACAGGGGTGGGTCTTTCCTGCGGGAGAACGGGAAAGCCAGGACCTTGAGGATACTATTACTGAGACTGTTTTGAAGTGTTACTTTCATTGTGTTTGGAGAGTAGGAGAATAATCTAGACCTGCCCCTCTCACGCAATGATTGTGGATGGTCTTGAAAGAAAGGAAGGGAGGGAGGGAAGGAGGGACTCAACTTCACCTCCCAGGAATGCACCTTTCCTGTCAGCTTTCTTTTTAGCTATCCCACTAACTCCATTGTTGAATGCCCTTTTCCTTGCTGGCATTTTCAATTCTACCACCTTTCAAAGAAGTGAAAGGAAGAAAGTCAACAGGTTTTTATGTCTTCATTCTTTTCATTCCATCTGGAGGGAGGAGAAGCGGGGTGAGCGGCTGTCAGTAGGAGGAGGTGGGAGTTCAGCCACGTGTGGGCAGAGCAGGAACTTCCTGGGCTGGGCAGGCAGCCCAGCGCCGGGCTCCTTGGGAGCCCTGCAGAAGCGTTTGCTGTTGGGTTGTTAACATTATCATTCTTTTTTTTTTTGGCCATGCCTCAAGGCATGTGGGATCTTAGTTCCTGGACCAGGGATCAAACGTATGCCCCCTGCAGTGAGAGCTAAGACTCTTAACCACTGGACCACCAGGGAAGTTCCTCCATTATCATTCTTTACAAGGATCTGTATGTATTAAAAATCCACAGAATCGTATATTTTTGGGTCCTGGATGGGATCTTAGAGAGTCTCCTTTAATCTTACTTTCCAGTAAAACCAGATCAGAATGAAGAAACTTGTATAAGGTGGTTTGTGACAGATCCAGGGCTGGTTACCTCAGGCACATGCTTTCTTTCCAGAATACCGTAATGTTGCTCTAGAGAGGGCTTTGGGACAGTGGAAATCATGTCCTCAGTGGTAGAGTCAAGGCTTTGAACACAAACTGAGCTGTGGACCGGGAGTATCCTTGAGCACATTACTTAGCATCTCTACTTTAGGTTCCTTAAAATGGGGTCATTAATTGTTACCTCATGGGGCAGTGCTGAGGGGTTTTAGGTACAAAGCAGGAGTTCAGTAACTCTTGGTGTTCCCTGACCAAATTAGGAAACTGCTGTTCCTCACTCACTCCCCCTCTTGCTGATATGATTTCTCTCTGACCTCAGGTTCCTAGAGGTGGGCACCAGCCAGCGGCTAGAAACAGGGTGAAGCAGAAGGCAGACGACGCCTTCCGAGCCCCAAGCTGGCATTACCGAACAGTGGCTGCTGAGCCGAGGGTGACCAGGTTCCTGAACCCTGTGGCCTAGGCTTGGAGAGAATCAAAGATGCTCTCAGCTGTGAAAGAGGAGAATTTGGACAGCAGGACAAAAAAGGAAGATAGCCCCCTGGAGCAGATACCTTTGCCACTGGAGGCCACATCAAACCCTGGGGCCTTTTCAAAGTCTCTCCATCTGCTCAGTCACTGGGAGGTAGATAGCCCCAGGAAGGAGCCCAGTCAGCCTTGGGGGCCAGACCAGGAGTGGATAAAGCTAGAAAGAGACATTAGGGAAGAGGTGGTGTTTGACCTGCTGAAGCCAATTGAACCTGTACAGAAGCTGCTCCCTCAGGTGGATGAGGAGGCCCTGCAGGAAGCCGTGAAGGGAGAATGCTGGTGGAAGGCATGGGTGAAGGTGAGGAGACCAAGCGAGAGACAGAGGGAGGGGCTGGGTCCTGGACTCCAGGAGCTCTTTCATCCATTATCCTGTCTACAGAACAAATGGAATCTCAAGAGTGTTCCAAGATAAACAGCACTCAGGAGAAGGGGTTTCAAGGACTTTTTTTCAGACTCCACACCACCCTGGCATCCTTCAAGGAGTCCTTGCTGAAATTCATCAGAGTGGCAGCCTTTTTCCTTTGCGTTCTTCCTACTTATATTCAGTATATACCCCTCCTTTCTCCCCCCACATTGTTCTTCCCTCCTCTCCATCCTTCCTTTCCTGTCTGTACATTAAAGTTGCTGGCTTTGTACTTGTCTTTTCCTATTTCTCCCTTCCTTCCATGTTTTTCTTTTTCTCTTAGTTGTCTGAATCTTGAGACTGGATGTCTGTCTGTCTATATACAGACTCTCTGAGTCTCTCCTGTTCTTCCAGAAGCCAGTCACCTCTGAGGATGTGGCAGTGAATTTCAACCAGGAAGAGTGGGAATGTCTAGATGCCAGTCAGAGGGTCCTCTACCAGGACGTTATGTCAGAGACCTTCAGAAACCTGATGTCTGTGGGTAAGAGGCTGGGGTTCCTCACAAGCCCTCTGTCCCAGGCCTCTGGGACATCTTGTTTCCCTGGGCAGGTAGATCAGCTCACAATTAGCTTCACTGATCCTTGGTTCTATACGTTCCAGGTATGCAAGATCTGGGTTACTAGGCTCAGGGTGAAAGAAGAAATGAAAGCTTGCATGAAGGCAAAGATAAGGCTTGTGACATGACGATAATGTTCTCAAAGTATGCAAATCTGCCTGTTCATCCAACTAGTATTTACGGAGTCACTCCTATTATATACCAGGCACTTTGTTAAGAGCTGGCCTTTTGCGTGTCTCCTCCCTGCACCTAAGTGTCCCAGATTATGGCTTTTAAACCAAAGATAAGGAGGAAGGTAGCCTGTTATCCCCATCAGGTGTGAAGGGGCCGAGCCTGGGACTCCAACTCTTCCTCTCCTTCCCACTCCCCAGTCAGAATCTTTCTGTCTAATCCAGACCTGATCGCCAAGTTTGAACAAGAAGAGAAACAGTGGAGAGCAGGTCTCCGTCCCCCAAACGGAGAAGGCCTTCATTCAGGTAAGAATTGCAAAGGAGAGAGGAGGGTGAAAAGGACCCAGGACATGCCTTGGGAGGATGGAAATGACTAAGAGGATCGGGGTGTGCATACCCGTCCCGAGCCTGCATCCTCCCTGCCTGGTCAGACGTGGAGCTGGAAGAACCCTTGACATCATCTGCTCAAGTCCCCTGGCTTCAAGAAGATGAGTATCTAAAGCATTCGGGGCAAATGAATATCTTGTTTCTAGAGATGGAGAGATTCCATGTCAGTTGCTTATGTCAGTGATACCGCCTTGATTAAAAAGTCCTTTCCGGGACTTCCCTGGTGGTCCAGTGGGTAAGACTCCATGCTCCCAATGCAGGGGGCCCGGGTTTGATCCCTGGGTGGGGAGCTAGATCCCACACGTGTGCCACAACTAAAAGATCCCATATGCTGCAACTAAGATCTGGTGCAGCCAAAATAAATAAGTAAATAAATTTTTTTTTTTTAAGAGTCCTTTCCAAAAGAAAAGAAAGGGAAGAGAGATGAGCTTGATGCTGAGTTGGAGCAGGGGAGACTTGTTCTTAAAAGTAGAATAAGGACTTGAGAGAAATTTAAGTCTGAGCTGACCACACTCCTGGTTTGCCAGGACAGTCCTGGTTTGTGCTTCTCATCCTAGCTTGATTGTTAATAGCACCTCCCGTCATTCAAGTGTCCCAATTTGCATGATATATTATGAGGTCACCTGTAGGTATCTGGGGTGTCTGGGAGTATGAACAAAATTGAAAATGAGAGGAATTAACACACATGGTAAATCAACTATACTTCAATTTAAAAAAAAAATGAAAGGAAATGGATTTCAAGAAATGTGGTTAAAATTTTGATCTCTGATATTTTTGGAAGATTCCAGTTAAATTTTTATTTGCTTTTAATTGGAAAACCCCAAAGTTTATTCTTATCTCTGGCCTCTGAGGTCTAAGAGTGAGCGTGAATGTCAGGTGGGAGAGGGAGGGCAGAAAGAGGGGAAGTAGCTTGGACTGAGAGCTTGTGTTGGGGTTGTCATGGTGAATCTCGCTATTCCTCATTCCCTACAGGAGGCAAGAGAGAGGAACTTCAAGAACAGAGCCAGAGTTTGGGAGATGAGGGAAATAGCGATGACAAGGTCTCCCTTGCTTGCAGAAGAGCAGGCCCATCCTCTGCTCCAGCCGGGCCCCTGGACAGGACACCAGTGTTGCCAGCATCCTGGGCTGGGCCACCCTTTACCTGCCATACCTGTGGCAGGTGCTTCAGCAAGCGCTCCAGCCTCTACAACCACCAGTTTGTTCACAGCTGCGGCCAGTGCGGGAAGTCCTTCCTGAACCCCAAGGACCTCAGCTACCACCGGCGCAAGCACCTTGGGGAGAGGCCCTTCTGCTGCTCGCTCTGTGACAAGACCTACTGTGATGCTTCTGGACTGAGCCGTCACCGCCGTGTCCATCTGGGTTACCGGCCCCACTCGTGTCCCTTCTGTGGGAAGTGCTTTCGGGACCAGTCTGAGCTCAAACGCCACCAGAAGATACACCAAGGCCAGGAGCTGGGGGCTGGAAACCAGAAGCATATCCTGAAGATTCCAGACAACACAGCTGGATTCCAGGGGCTGGCAACTGCAAACAATGCACCAGTGGCCGGGACCCAAGGACCCTCATTTAAAACCACCGGTCCCGAGGCTCAGACCCAGCCATCTATAGACAGGAGCCCGGCACCTGCAACCAAGAACCAGGTAGTCACTGGGAAGGCTCAGCGCCCAGTCGTTACAACTGCAGAGCCTGTGACCAGGACCCAGGCAGCCAACACGAGAACCGCCTGCCTGGAAACCAAGTCCAGCTCTCACCCAGGAAAGCCTTCAAGACTCAAGGTCTTCTCTTGCCCTCATTGTCCCTTGACTTTTAGCAAGAAAAGCTGTCTCTCCAGCCACCAGAAGGCCCACTTCACAGAGCAGTCCAACTGCTGCTTCCACTGTGGCAAGTCCTTCGCTTTATTCTCTGGGCTGGTCAGGCACCAGCAGACTCACTGGAAACAGAAGCTCTACTGTTGCCCCATCTGCGACGTCTGCTTTGGGGAGAAAGAGGACCTTCTGGGCCACTGGGGGGGCTACAGGGGCAAGGGGCTCTGCCTGGGCAGTCCCCATAAATGCTGGGCGATCCTGGGTCAGTCGCTTGGCTTCTTTCCCGATGCGCCCACTGTGGCAGGGGAGGAGATGGATCTTTCTCCTGGATCCATACCCTTAGGAGCGGGAAGGAAGGGAGGGGAGAAGGCAGCAGAGGAAAGCAGATAAGGCAGTGAAGGTCTTGGAATGTAAATAAATGGCCTTTCCACCCAAGGTCTTTCTCTGTTTGGTTTTCCTGAGGGCTAATCTCCAGGGTAAGGAGACTGGGGTAGAGGAAGAGAGAGGTGAAGGAATAATGAAGGAAATACAGAAAGGAAAAGGGACAAGAGGTGGCACATGGAAACTTGTAGTATTATTAATTAGCACCCAGCTTGTTTCTTTGTGTCTGACAGACCATCAAGTAGTAGTTGTTGAAGACAACAGTGGACACTCCAATAGATATGAAGATGGGAGAAAAAAGATAAGTGGGGGAGAGAGTGTGAGGGACCCATCTGGGCCAGATGTAGAAGGCAGGCGTTTTAAAGCAGGTGTGTGGCCCAGTTCTGACCCCTTGCTCCCCTGGCACCTCGGTAGGCTGCCTGGGGCAAGATGGAGCTCTGGCCAGTGTTTTGCGGGTTTCTCCCCATCTCCTGTTTTTGGTTAGGGCTCCCCATGTCCTCACTCTGCAGGTCACTTGGTGCTGTCTTGGATGTTTTGGACTTTTCCTGCTCCTTCCCAGCAGGGCTGAGATCTTGGAAGAAATGACCACCATTTGCAAAGTTGGTGTGCTATAATTTGCAGTGAGGAGGTTCCTGGTCTCCAGTTCATGGCAGAGACCCTCTTGTCTGTGTTACTCTGCAGCACAGGTGCCCTCTGATGGAGAGAAGAACAGCTGCCTGGCTGTAACCAGAGAGGGCTTCCAGATGGAAGATAGACCAAGGAGTAGAAATATGTGGGCAGCATAAAGGGGGAGAGGAAGGAAGGAGCTGGGGAAGGGGAGAGACAAAGTAGATGACAGAAGAGAAGTTGATCCTATTTGGAATTCAGAGCGTTCCTGCAAGTGCAGATTGGAATGTCCCCACAGCAGAGAGGCCAGTGGGTGTGCAACTTGATGGATGTGACATCCCCGAGGACCAGTCTTTGGGCCAACCAGGCTCTTCTCCATCCTGCCAAGATGCGACATCATTCAGAAGGGGTTTCCTAGAAGGAGGAGAAAATGACTTGAAAAAGCTGTCAACAGTTTCTGTCATGAAACTGTCACACCAGGGAGAAGAAAGCCCTGTGGAGTCATCTGGCCTTGGAGGGGAGGCCCAGGGCAGCTGCTGTAGGGAACAATTGAGAAAGGAGGCCAGCTGGAGTGGGATTCTTGCTTTGGAACAGGAAGGTGGAGGAGGAATCCTCCCTCCAGCCAGGCTCACCAGCCCTTCCTTTCCTTTGGGATTTTGATCCCTAAATAGCCCCCTGTTCCCCTTGCTGCTTTCCTTGTTTTTTTTTTTTTTTTGCTCTCAGCTTATAAGAAAGAGAAGAAAACTTACTTAGCTCTTCAAGAAATTGCCCTGAAAACAAAGAGAAATAGGTAATGAGTGGAAGATGACTAACTCCTCCCACATCCTCCCTGTAGAATTCATAGTCCCCCCCCCCTCCCTTTCCACTAAGGGACCCCACAGATCTCAGTAAGTGGCTCTCTTTATGGATTCTCTGAGGAGCCTGGAGTTGGCCATGTGGACAGAGCAGGAAGGAAATTCCAGCTCTGAATCTTGAGCCCTGGTTCCATCCACCCTCTTTATGTTTCCCACTCAGGGCTGGCTTGATCCCCTGCTGCCCAGTGGTCCTGTTTGCCGCCCCAGCACTGCACCTGCTAGTCGTCCGTGTAGCCAGTTGTAGCAGATGATCAAGGCCACCAGGGGTCCGAGAAATGGCACGATTACAAACAGGGTTATCTTCCAGCAGGGCACCCTCAGGAAGTGGGGATCTGAATCGTTTGCCACAGAACAAGCAGGATTAACATGTGTTCCCCCTTGTGTCCCACCCACCCCTCTCCATTTATTATTGGGTTTATTTTGGGTGGTGGAGGGGGGAGGTTCTTAACCTGGGTTCCAAAATAGTTTGTGGATAGAGTCCAGGGAGTTCATGAATTTGGATGAGAAAAGCATTCCATTTTTATTTTCACTAACTTCAAACTGAATTTAGCATTTTCTTACACTAAAAATGTAGCTAACAAACCAGTTATCGGCAGTACCTGTGACTTTATCACCAATGGAAACCACATTCCCTTCAGAGTTGTTGCAGAAATCTCAGAATACTGTTTATCAATATTTTGAAATCACCAAATTATTAGACCTGCTGCTACATTTTATTATTTAATGTATATTTTGTATTTAGTGTATATTATTTAATGTACATTTGTTACTTTATCACAAATTGGTTTATATTTCGAAAACTATTTCAAAACAATGGTTTTCTTTGTAATCCTATGTGTTATATTTTATGTGTACAGTTCAAAACATTCTGGGAAGGGAGGGGTCCGTGAGGCTTAACCAGATTGCCAAAGAGTACAAAAAGTTAAGACCTTTGTTTTTTTGAATCCTGTAAAACAAAGATCCTGTTCCTTCCCTTTGAGTTGCAGACTATGTGTGTTGTTTTTCCTGCACACTGATTAAATGCTAGCGTGGAGCCAGGGGCACCTCCAGCCTCAGGAGGAGAGGCTGTTCAGGAAGGCTGCTCGGAGCAGGGACCATCTTATAATTTCTGCAACACCCATTCAACAAATATTTGGGTGCCCTTCTATTGTAGGCATTGTCGTTAGGCACTGGACAACCTGCAGTGAACAAAAAGGACAGAGACCATGTCCTAGGGCCAACATTCTTTTTTTTTTTTTTTTTTTGGCTGCATGGCATTCGGGATCTTAGTTCTCCCACCAGGGATTGAACCCTCACCCCCTGCAGTGGAAGTGCAGAGTCTTAACCAGTGGACCACCAGGAAGTCCAGGCCAACATTCTAGTGGGGTTTGATGTCTTCACTCTTCCCCCAAGTCGCCTTCCCTGCGGAGTCACATGTAGTTACTCATTCTGTACTGTGAAAACTCATTCCTCTGTGAGTTGTCGATGATGTATATGTACTTTGTTCTCCAGTAATTTATGTATATGTATCACCTCCCCAACTAGACATCAAGTTGATGTGCAAAGGATCTGTTTACCTCCCTTTTGTAGTTCCTAAAAAAAGAAGTAATGTACATAAAGTACTTGTAATTCCTAGAACGTTAACATTTGGGAAGCTGTTACAGTGCCAGGTACATGAAAGCGTGATGTGAGTGTTTGCTGTTATCTAACCCATCCTAGGTGCAGGTGATGACATTCAAAGAAAGAACAAGAGGGAGGAAACCAACCAGAAGCCAGGGGTCCTTACGTCCCCAGGTAACAGGAGCCGAGTGAAGCACCAAGCTGACCTGGGGGCTGGGTACCCCAGGACTTACCAAAAGTCCGGTGGAGATTCTCTGAAAGAACAAATGGAAAGGGATTATTAGTATGGCACTCAAAACAATCTTTTCTCCTCTGAGCCTTTGTTATTTAGTCACTTTAAATTGTAAGTGATGCACGATGGAGGAAAGGAAGCTGTAGGATTTTACTTCTACTCTGGCTGAAGGCAGGGAAGAGGAATAAGACTCTATGACTGGTTATAGGAGTTTTAATAGTGAAGTTCCTGCCTGAAGGGAGCACAGGGTATTGGGACAGAGGCAGAGATGGTCTGAGAAAATGACCATTTCAGTTACACCAGAAGACCTGGAGGGAGGCATGGGGAGGGAAGGTGCCTGGAACTCACCCATCTCTGCTGGAAGTTTTCCTAAAATAGAAAAAGGCGACATTTTTAGTTCCAGCCCAGGCACTAGATGGGGCCCCTCCACACCCATTGCCTTGGGCCTTTGTGCAGGTTGTTTCTCAGTAGCCCATGAACACCCTTAGAGCGAGAAGAGCACCAGATTTGAAAGCAGGAGTTCAGGCTCATTCCCTGGCTATTGCCTGGGTTAAGTATTGGGTTAAAGAAAGTGGAGAAGCTCAGTAGACAGCGATGTTCACCAATGCCCCAAACAAATCTAAGGTTTTATGAGCGCCCCCACTGCTCTCTGCTCCTTTTCTTGCTGGTTCTCAGTTCACAATGTCACTCCACCCCGCTGGGTTGTCATTTAGGAAATCTAAAGCTACTTCGCATCTGAATGAGGAAGGAAGGAACTAAGTTTTTAGTTGAGCAGCTGCTTTGTGACCGGCTCTGTACTAGATGCTTTACATAACACTATCCCCTTTAACCCTCCCATAACTTGTAGGAGGGAGGGTGTTATCGCTACTTGACTCAGACTAGGCAACTGAGGCTTGGAGAGTTCCTCATTGTCTGAACTGGATCTAAACCCAGGCTGGCCAACTCCACTGATCAGGTTCTTTCTGCTCAGCCATGTGGGCTGAAGACCTTTCTCATGTGGGAGAAGAGGTAACTGAGTATCTGGGATGAGGTCAAGGGAAGAGAAGATCCCACCAATATCCCCCCTCATATACTCCAAGCCCTCCTTGCTGCTTTATCCTCTTAAGAATGGGAGGGGGAGGAGAATTGGAGGCCCTGCGGGCTTTGGCTTTGAGAACGCTTGGTGGCGGGGAGAAGTCTCAAAATGAGAGCTCTTGGGCACAAGAGAGGAGCTTCAGACGGTTGAACCCATGTCCTCAGTGTTGGATGGAAAAGGAGGAAACAACACCTACTATGTGGTAGGGACTTTTACTTACAGTATCTTTATTTAAACCTAGTAGCACAGACTTGCCTGATTCTGAAGCTCACAGTCCCCCAGTTGCATGAGCTGCTGTGTATGTTTCAGGGGCCAGAAGATAGGGGTTTAGGCCTGAGCTCTGCCACTTATAAGCTGTGCCAGCTTGAGTAAATCTCTGAACCACTCCAGGCCTCAGTTGCTTCCTCTCTAAAATGGGGCTATTATATATCAGCCCAACCTCATAGGAAAATGAAAGGCCCTATTATCTAAATGATATTTACATTTGGTAGGATGTAAAACTTGTCATGGAGTTCTGAACCCAGAAGTCCCTCAAAAATAAACGTTAGCTGACCAAGCTTCAAGAGACCAGGCACTTCAGGGAAGGGTCCCCAGCCAGCCACCCTCCAGCCTGTACCTCTGAGTCTGCGCTGCAGGCAGAGGAAGGCAAGGCCCACAGTGATCTGCAGGAGGAGCACAGGCAGAACCGCGATGAGCGCCAGCACTCCAGGGTTGATCCAGTAGAAGGGATCTGAAAGGCAGAACCGGGGGGCCCAGCACTGTGTCATCAACACCCAGCACAGTGCCCACGGCTCCATGAGTCAGGATCAAAGAAGATGACTCAGAACTAACACCTAAGCTTAGGCTTAAAGGAAAAGTAAGTGGTTGTTTCTGGGAAGGGCCAGTGGTTTAGAATGACAGGAGTCGAGGCTGTATACTGGGCCAGTCTTGGAGAATTCTGAGAACCACGAAAGGGACTTAGATCTGATCCTCAAGGTCACGGGGTACACTGAAGCATTTCATGCTGAGGAGTGACAAGATCTGATTTACTGACTGCAGGACTAGAGGAGGGGATCGAAGGCAGTCAATTAAGAGGCCATGGTAATGGTGAAAGTAAAACACATGAGCCTAGGACAGTGGTGGCGGTGTAGGAAGTCAAGGTGAACTTAAATAGGAAAAAAAATACGTATTTTCAGTAAACTTTAAGCTGAAATTTAGTGTTTCTTTCAATTATGTTTGTAGGCAACACTCCATAACAATATGAACAAAACCTGAGACTTTGTCATCCCTAAAAATCACAAATATTTTCATATCACGGTACAGAAATCTCAAAATATCACTTATGTTCATTTTGAAATGACACTATTATTAGGGCCACCCCATATCTTACTTTAATATTTTGATAACTGTATTTCAGTACAAGTATGTTTTATGCATTTCAAATATCCTTCTGAGAAGGGGTTCATCGACTTTACCGGTCCGACAAAAGGGTGCATGACACAAAGAAAAGTTAAGAACCTTTCTTCTGGAGCTTTTGAGAAAGTAAGATCCGCCGGATTTGGTAACTGAGCGGACATGGAGTGGGAAAGATAAGAGATAGGGGATGACCTTTGGCTCTCTGGCGCCATCTATTGCCCATTCTCGAGTCGGCTCAGTGCCCCAAAGCTTTCCCTGTATAATCTCAATGTTCAGGACCGGCCCTTGACATCTTGTTCTCTGAGTTAGGGGGCTAGATAAAGATACTGCCATCAGGGTAGGCATTAAGTCACAGCAAACAACATCAAACTGGTTTCTTAGGTATAAATACCATCCTTCAAGCTGCGGTTTCAGGCTCTTGTCTGTTACTGTGTTCCCCAGGAGAAAACACAGCCAGCTCTGCTTTCAAAGTTCTCATTGGAAGTTACCTGGAGCAACATGGTTTAACAATTACATATTTTAGTTCCTTTTTTTGTACACCTTTTATATTTTAACAAAGGGTTAGGATCACAAAAAGAGAGAAAAAGAGATATTATGAGACTTCTGATGTAAAGTGATATGAATGAAGTATATAGCATCACCTATGAAATATGCTTGACAAAATAAATCAAACCTGAATCTGATTGTTCATATCCTAACCTATAAGTTTACAGAAAATAAAAGGTACGGAACATTGTATTAAACAACATGGGAATGAAATCAGCAAAATCTAGATCGTGGGAAACTCTACAGGGCGAATGCCAACCTGTGGATCTTGTTTGGGTTGGATTCAAGCAAACCAACTGTAAAAATATATTTATAAAACAATCATAAAAATGTGAACACAGACTGAGTATTGTTAAGAATTTTTGTTAAATTTTAAAGATGTAATAATAGTATTTTGGTTATGATTTTGTTTTGTTTTTGAGTTTTTCTATTTGAGAAATACGGTTTTGAGGATTTAGCAATGACACGATAATGCTGCCTAGGATTTGCCGGAGGAATTCATTTGGGGAGGATGGTGATGAGTGGGGTCTAGTGAAACAGGTGGCCTGTCCTTGGGTCATAACTGCTGCAGTCAGGTGATGGGAACTTGGAGGCTCATTATAATAATCTCTCTACTTCTGTATATATTTTTAAGTTTCATAATGAAGAGTTTAAAGAAAGGTTTAGAGACAACTAGTAATGAAATCACAAAACTGACAAGAAAAATACAAAGTTGGAAGGAGAGATTAGAAACTCTTTAGAGAAAGAGGTGAGGTAATTACACCTGAAACTTGGCAATCACATAGTTACTGCATTTCAGTCCTAAATTTGTCTCAGCTTCCTCACGCTAGGTGGGTGGTCCATCATTAAACTCTCTTTTTTAAAAGACTCTTAGGCATGCAGATTATGAGAAAGGAGAAGAGGGTGGGAATGTGGAAATCCACCCAAAGGAAAACTTTCTCCCCGGGCAGTTCATTTGTTTGTTTGTTTGCTTGTTGGGGTGGGGTGGGGATGTACTGGGGGAGGCAGTTACTGAGCCAGGAAGCTACTGAACAGGAATGAGGAAAATCGGAAAACTGGAGAGATCCTCACTATCGGACTTCCTTGCAGGTAAAAATCCCCCAGTGTAAACAGCTGTATGAAGAACATTCTGTGACACACAAAGCTGTTTTCACATCCCTGAGATCCGTCTCTAGAAATAGTGCTTTGTTATCCTGCATACAATGCCATCTTCTGGTCCCAGTACTGCAACAGTGGCCCTTGAGATACAAAAGTGATCAATTGTCTGATGTTTGCCCAGCAGGTGGGGAGGAGGGAAGGGAAATGACCTGAGGCCCAGGCCTCAGAATAATTTTGTTCCTCAGTTAAATAGCAATTAACTTGCAAATCTCCCCCTCCTTGTCCGTGTCTTAACCCCTCGGGGATAAAACAAAAAAATAAGTTTCAAAGTCATCCCTCACATAAAGCATACCACAGGGCTTCCCTGGTGGCGCAGTGGTTGAGAGTCCGCCTGCCGATGCAGGGCACACGGGTTCGTGCCCGGTCCGGGAAGATCCCACATGCCGCGGAGCGGCTGGGCCCGTGAGCCATGGCCGCTGAGCCTGTGCGTCCAGAGCCTGTGCTCCGCAACGGGAGAGGCCACAACAGTGAGAGGCCCGCATACCGCAAAAAAAACCCGACCAAACAAACAAAACAAACATACCACAAATGAAATTCTGGAGAAAGAAAGCAGTGGAGGTAAAATCTATAGGTAACATCTCTTTCTATGATTATATTCAGACATTAGTTCTACTTGTTTAATTCCTTGCAACTATGTTTACCAGGAATATATTGTTTAATAATGTTCCTCATCTAATAAAACACCACAAACACATCAACTGAGGAATTCACTGTAATAGGATTTGACCAGTTTGACTCCTTAGGAATAAGGCCCTTGTTTATAACAAATAAATGAAAAGACAATCCAAAGCAAAACAAGAAAGGAAAAGGTCCACTTGCATACTTTGATTATCTTTCAGATAAGTAATATTCCCCTCTAGTAGCACAAAATAACCACAAATGGATTATTTTGGATTTTGCTGCCTACATTTTTCATTTTTTCTATTTAAAAAATTTTAAAAGTTCTCTGTACGTACCCACAAATGTGCATGTTATATACACACTTTTATATAAATGGATAAATTTTTTGTTCCCTAGATTCTGTAGCTTGCTTTTATCACTCAACAATACCTTGTAAAATGCCTCCAAGCTGTCTGGAATGGCCCTACAGCAATCTTTTAAATGGCATCATGATATTCACTGTATGGGTAACAGTGTTTACTCAGTCACTTCCCTACTCATGGGCACGGACTCTGATTCTGGCTTCCTTACATCATTACAGAATAATGATGTAACAGACAATGTGAGCATATGAATTCCCAGAGATACTGATGTACGTATCTCTATGGAGTTAATTCCCAGGAATGAGCTGTTTGGGTTGAAGGATCTCATCTCAATTGAGAGAATGACTGAAGGCTCAAAGGGAGGTCCTGGCCACCCAACAGACAATACCTACTATTATAGACACTACTCACCTTCCACTTTCAATTCTATTGCTGCCTCCTCTTGGTAAGAATGATCTCGGAAGAAGCAGGTGAAACCTCCTTCATCTGAGAACCTTACATTCCGGATCCTGAGGGTCACCTTTCCCTCCCCAATAGTCTCTTTCAGCAGCTCCGTGCGGCCCCGGTATTCAGGTGCCTGCTCTTCATCTTGGTCCTTGCCATTTCGGTAGAGATGAACCACCCTGGAGAAGGGGGGTCGGTACCATCCCACCTCCATGCCTGTAGCGTTCTTTCCTGGAGATATGCGACAGGGCAATTCCGCTTCATCCCCCACCAGCACCCGGATGGGCTGCCCTGGTCCCATTACTCTGAACTGTCCTATCCAAGACACAAAAGAAAAGAAACTGAGCATCAGAGGGAACCTTGGCAAACAAGCCCTTCATGGGAAGGGCTGCTTCTAAACAGGAAAAGAAGACACTTGATTTTTAAATAGAATTCTAGAGCCAGGGAGAAGCTTAATTTTTCTTAAAGGTCTCTGGTTATAGAGATACCGTGAGTTCCCTGGACAGAACATTCTAGCATGTGGTCATCCCAGCCTTTAGGTCCCACCTTGGAATGTGGTCCAGCATCTTGCAGTTTAACTGTCCCATGGGCCTCCCTGTTCAGTCTTGGCCAACTTGATCCTTCTTCTCCCCTTAGAGGTTTTGCTTTGGTCGTTCCTCCACCACCACCTCTCCATCACTTCTCAGCCCTCTGTATTTGTTCACACCCTGGTCCCAAATTCTTCTCCTCTGAGATCTTCCACGCTAGAGGTGGAGGATCTTCTTTCCTTCTTTCCTCCTTCTTCTTTTCCTCTGTATCTTCAGCCCTCTCTACAGCTCCTGGACCCTGCCCTGTACATGTTCCCAGTCTTTTTTCCTCTGTGGGATATATCTCCTTGTCAGCCTTGGAGCTACTAGAAGATGAAGCTAGTTTCTCCATTAGACCTGCAGCCATTTCCCGAGGGAGTGTATGTTCTGAGCCTTCTCTGTTAGGCGGCTCCCTGAGATTGGGAATCTGTCTTCGGAGAGCAGGGATCCTCTGTAAAAACTTATTAGTGCCTGATAGTGTGAGACAGAACTCTCAAACATGATGAGACACTACAACTCAACAAACATTTATCATGATTTACCATGGGATAGGCACAACTAAGCATATTATATATACCTTATCTAATTGAACCCTGACAGCAACTCCAAGAGGCTGTTATTATGATATTCCCCGTTTGATAGGTGAGAAAGCAAAGTTGGAAAGATAGGTAAGACCAAGTTCAAGGAGAGCCCTGAGTTAAGGTCGCATGATGGATTTGGGTCTCCTTCTGAAGGCTGTAGGAGGCACTGGTGGTATCTGAGGGGAACCATGTCAGCACATCTATGTTTTGAAAAGATAACTTGCATGGCAACTTGAGGGTGAGTTGAAGGAGGTGAGCCCAGGGAACTAGCCTTCTTGTTCTCAGGGTCTCCCCAGGGCAGGAATAAAGAGAAATCTTACCTGCAGAGCTGGAAGACAGCTGGAGGAGGAAGAGGAGGGAGGGGAGGCAGCTGGGCAGAAAGGAGCTCAAAAAACTGGCCATCTCCACTGTCAGTGGGGAAAGAGAGCCCCTGCAGCAGGGTCAGGCCAACAGAGGCCCTCGGGGTGCGTGTCCCCACGGCTGAAGAAGCCCCAGGGGAGGATCGGGGAGGACAGAGCTGCCCTGGCCCTGCTTCCTCCCCAGCAGAGTCGCAGCTGTGCTCCCAGGCACAGTCCCACGTTACCCTTGCCAGGCACTTACACAAAAGGACTACAGAGCCAGGGGATGACCAGGGTTTGCCTTCCCCACCCCCTCAGAGCTACGGAGCAGAGGCTGCCTGGTACTAGGTCTTCCTCCCCCACTCTCTCCCGGTGGCCAGCCTTTGAGGGGGCTTCTAGGATCTGACCTGTTGGGATGGATCACTCACTGGCCCGCAGGCTACAGCTTGTCGGTGCAATCTGCAAGGTCCCTTCAATCCCTCTCCTCCAGGTATTAGCCAAAAGATAGGGATCTGTGTTGGATTTTTAAAAAGGAAGGAACATTTAGACTTGGTTTCCTATTTCTATGGTCTCATAACTGTCATTACCAGGGCATTCTTTCCTCTTGATGTCTGACCTTTCTCTCTCCCACCGCAAATCCAAACGCCCTTCCTTATGTTCAGATGTGTTGCTTGGACTTAGCTTCTCCCTCCCAAAGAATACATTTCAAAGAGTCACGGGGTTGGGACTTCCTTGGTGGAGCAGTGGATGAGACTCCATGCTCCCAATGCAGGGGGCCTGCGTTCGATCTCTGGTCAGGGAACTAGATCCCACATGCATGCTGCAACTAAGAGTTCTCATGCCACAACTAAGGAGCCTGCCTGCCACAATTGGGACCTGGTGCAACCAAATATATATATATATATATATATATATATATATAAAAGAAATGCATTTAAAAAAATAATAAAGTCACAAGTCAAGTGTCAGGAGTTGATGGTCACCTGTGCTCCAAGAAGCAGGCACGAAGAAAGCAAGATCTGCAAAGTCAGCGGCTGTCAATCAATACAGGCACTGAGGACAGATCAGCAGTCAGGACACAGCCCCCAGCCTGGGCATCACTCTCCAATTTCCTCTGTCACAGGGGAAAGTGAGATCTGGGATGGGAATACGATCTTTCTCCTTATCCCCAGACTTGGCGGCTGATCACTAAAGAGTAAGACCAGTATCAGCACCAAGTTTGAAAAATATATTTTCCAATCTTAAGGATGTCTCATCAAAAAAAAGTCAGGATGGACAATTTAAAGCCATGCTGCCCAATACTGTAATCACTAGTCACAAGTGCCCATTTAAATGAAATAAAATTTAAAATTCAGTTCCTTGATTGCACTAGCCATGTTTCAAACGCTCAGTAGCACATACAGCTAGTGGTTACTGCATCGGACAGCACAAATATAGACCAGATCCTTCATCACAAAAAATTATATTGGGCAGCACCGTTCAAGGGCCAGGAACAGAACAGGGACAGACATTTTCTGCTCTTGTCTGAGATGAGCATGAGGGGCTAGAAGGATGGACTCCAGTCAGCTGAGTCTGGGAGTGGTGTATTCTTTTTTTCTGCAAGGCGGCTGTAGTTTGGGCACAAGCAGGCTGGCTATTCTGAAGCCGTGAGGGTGAAAGTCAAGGTCTGGAGGGATGAACGAGGTGGGAAGAGGAGTCTCTGTGCTTGCCTGACTTCCTCTCACGTGGGGATTCTCTCCTTCTAGAACCTAACATATCCTGTGATGCTCTTCCTCCAAGATACAAGTTCAGGTTCAGGTAAGAAAGTTATGCACAAGATGCTTTCCTGGACAGGGTTTGGGGGTCGTAAGTTGCTTGAATTTGTCTGGCACTCGTCCAGTTGTCAAAAGCTGGATAGGAGGGCTTCCCTGGTGGCGCAGTGGTTGAGAGTCCGCCTGCCAATGCAGGGGACACAGGTTCGTGCCCCGGTCCAGGAAGATCCCACATGCCGTGGAGCGGCTGGGCCCATAAGCCATGGCCGCTGAGCCTGCGCGTCCGGAGCCTGTGCTCCGCAATGGGGGAGGCCACAGCAGTGAGAGGCCCGTGTACCACAAAAAAAAAAAAAAAAAGCTGGATAGGAGATCAGGGTGGAGTGGAGGGTTTAAAGATCAGAGAGGGTCAGGAGCTAACCAACCAAAACCACTTATAACGACTACACCCCCTACCTCTGAAGAGCTCACCTCACTTGCCTCCACGTCCTCGACTGCCTCACATCTTTGGAAAGGGGGTGGATTTCTGGAGCTGGGGTGAGCAGTCCCTTGGATGACATGGTCTCTGGACAAGGGAAAGGGGCAGGGCTACCAGCAAAACAAAGCCAGTGGAGTTGCCATTTACAGAAATCTGGGTATAGGAACATCTGGGTTTTGCTGGGCATGGTGCATGGTGTGGACGTGTCTAACAACCCTGTGTTTTTGGTCAGGCTGGTCATTTCCTTCAGCTCTTAAAAGTTACTTTAATTTTGTGTGGCGTATGTTATATGATCTTGCAAATATTCTTGGGTTGTTTCTTACTCTCCTCAGTAATTTCCATTTGATCTACACCTCTCACCAAGTCTGATAACAGGCCGTGTACACAGTCATGTATGCAAAGTGACATACTATAAATATGTTCATGTGTATATTAACACACTATCCGTATGTAAAATAGTAAGCACTCAATAAATGGGAGCTTACCTAGATGTTACCCAATAGCAGTACTGCGTAAGCTTTTCCAGAGAATGTGTAAAATATATATCTTGCCCTGTTCTGCTTCTTGTGTTCTTCTTGTGGTGTTTACTTAATAATGCATAATTCCATATTAATACATAATATAGCCCTCTTGAACTTTTGAAAATGGGTTCTTATTTATTTGTTTATTTGGGTGTTCATTTGCTTCTGTTTCCAAATCCAAAAGGTATAAAATGACATACTTTGAAAATCGCCCAGCCATCCTGGGCCAACTTGTTTTCTCTGAATCCTTCCACATATGTGCCACTAGAGGGAGCCCCACAAGAAAGTTTCTTCGTGTGAGAACTAATCTACCCTCCCTCCCTTTTTAACATAAATGGTAACAACAATTTATCTTGGAGACAATCTATATTAGTACCTAAAGAACATCCTTGTTATTTTACACAGCTACACAATATTTTATGGCATGAATGTATCATACTTATTTAACTAGTTTCCCAGGACATTTAGATTGTTTCAATTTTTAAAATATCCATTTTACTAGGTTAAATAAAAATGTATTCAATTAATTTACATCAATAAATATTTAACAGAAACGATGTGCGTCAAGCTTTATATTAGGCTCTGATTGTAAAAGTTTCAGTAAGATGAAGAAAAAAGAATTTTTTTTGGCCGCCCTGTGCTGCAGCTTGTGGGATCTTAGCTTCCCGAACCCCGGCCCCCTGCAGTGGAAGCCCGGAAAGCCAGGGAATTCCCAAGAATGTTCTTGCTTTCTTTGTGGTTTTACTCTTGACCTGTCATGGTGGCTTTGTTTTTGTTTTTGCTATTTAATATCACATTCCTTCAGGCACTGGGATACTTAGGGGGGTGAATGCAGGCCTTCCCATGTGCCTGGGGTCCTGCCTCTCAACTTGGCAAGACAGGTATATATGTCTGACCCCACCTCTCCCCTGTGCCCAGGCTCCTGCTGGGAGAGGGCAGCACAGAGAGTGGCAATGGTTCCTGGGGGGAGTTGAAGGCAACTAAAAACCAGTCCTGGGGAGGCTGAGAAGTGAGATCAAGCTTGAACCTCGGCTCCAAGCCCTCAGCACATGTTCTATTACCCCATCAGACTTCACTGACAAAACACAAATTGAAAGAAAATTATTAAGAATTTCAAGATAGTGACACAGAGCATCATGGCCCAAACATAGTGTCCCTTCCTAAGCATGGGCCCTGCGTGACTGCCCGTCAAATGCCCATGAAGTTCACTGCCTTCTACACAAGTGAAGTTGTTGGCTCAAAGCGCATGGGCAATTGCAGTTTTAATAAATGTTGATAAATTACCCAGCACAAAGTTGTATACTTCGTACAGGTGGACACACTATACCTCTCAGCTTTCTCCTCTGTAAATGGGGGATACTGACATCCACCTCATTAGGGCTGTGAACAGAATTACATGAATGACCCATGGGAACTGTGAATGGTACACTTACATTCTGTAAGTGCCGTTATTAGCTCTCACTTGCAGTGATTTTTCTTCTGGAACTCCCTCTAGTGGTATAAATCTCAGGAGGAAATTGATATTTTCTTTTCCACTTTAGTGGTCTTATTTTCATAGTATATGTGTGTTTAAACTGGTCTGCAAAGTCCATGGAGACTCAATGACCGATAGGCTGTAAAATGTCTAATTTATATCTGTTTAGCCCCGTGTTTCATGGGTCTGCAGGAAAAATGAGAACACTGATCTGAATCAAGCTGATGCAGGTACCCAGCAAGTGAGTTCTTGTACCCAAAGGTTTACATTTTATCTATTAACATTTTCCCCCATTTTTGGTGTCTTTTTTGTTATTATTCTGAAAAATTTTCACTTTTCAAAAAGAAAAACATTCAGCTTGTTATGAATCAGGTGAGTCAAACACTTAAGCTTACTTACCCGCGCCCCCCAATAAACAGGAATGCATTTGTGCTGATTTTGAGCAAAATGTTATGAGTTGTCCTATGGAAGAGGCATTAAACTGTTCTGCAGGTCCTCGTGGGGTAAAACAATTAGGTGCAAGTCCTCGACCGTAGATTTCAGTTCAATACAAAGGAGAATCTTCTCTCCATCAGAATCGTCCAGCCCTGGCAGAGACTGAGGGAGCGCGCTTCCCATCCCTGGACATCCAGCCAACATAGAATGGGAAGTTAGGCTAGGTAACTCTAAGGTTTTTCCCTAGCTATAAGACCCTACAAGAATATACATTTTCCTTTCTCGTCTTTTTTTCCCCCTCCTGCCGCCTCCTTACAATCTCCCCGACGCCTTCACTCTCCACCAACATTCCCTAAGGATATTGCAGGGGAAGGCCCAGGAGGCACTCCCAGTCTGCCCCGCAACAGCTGACGTACTCAACTTCCCGCCGATAATTGGTTGCCAGGAGCCCTTGGGGGCGGAGAATAAGGCGGTGACTACACATATTCAGGCAAAAGCGAGGCGCCTGCGGACCGTGCAGTGACATCCAGTTCCAAAGGGAAACCTTTTCTTGCCCTTTCACTTCAGACCCACCGCCCTTGGTTACCTGCCTTCCTCCCCTGTCCGCTTCGTTCCTCTG